AAAGCCAGCTTGGGAGATTTTCAACTCCTTGGATGTGAAATATGTTCTTGTTGTATTTGGAGGTTGGTTTTCTAATGTTGCTAAGATTGTCTTACTTGGGGAAAAAGGGCAACATTCTGAAGTTTGACTTTGCAGGTCTTGTTGGCTATCCGAGTGATGATATCAACAAATTCCTGTGGATGGTTCGTATAGGTGGTGGTGTATTCCCTCACATCAAGGAACCTGATTATCTGGTAAGTATTTATGTATGTTGGTTTAATTTTAATAGGAATTTGTAGTCTTCCAATTGATGACATTGTGTTTCCACACTATGTATTGAGCTTTGAATCTGTTTGAGATTTACAAAATAGTAATTCGGAATTAACTACATATTGTCAAAATAGTAATTCGCACTTTGCATTATGCTAGAATGCCATGATTATGCTAGAATGCCATGATTATATAGCTCTACCTAGTTCTAACTTAGTCAAACTACACCTCAATTTTTCTTTCTATTTAAACCTTGCTAATTTCGGTCTTCTTTCATCCCATTAGCTTTCATGGTAGTGGACCCTGTGGCCTTTATTGTGCAAGGCCAAAGCATTCCTGTTCCTGTTGATTTTTTAAAATATATCTCCAATTGTTTGAAATAAGAACAAATAAAAAAACCAGGAATATGTGCTATTATGTCTTGAGTTTGTTTGTGTTTGAAACCCTTGTATTGTATGCTCCTGTTTATAGATTCAAAAATTGTGTTATGGATTGATTGATTTGAATATTATCAATTACTTGACAAAAGTCAATAATATTTATAAATATTTCAATATTAGAAATGAAACATCGTTGATTTTAGATATAAAAAGTTGAAGTCCATGTTGATAGAAATTTTAAACATAGTGCATATTTTTTGCATGTCGTCTGTTTTTCTTCTAAGCACGAAGAGTTGCTTTTTTTTTTTTTAACCCATCTATTTATGTGTTTTTAGTCTGGCTGATGAAATATGATATGTAGAATAGTGTTTTTTAAATTTGGTTATTGATAACATGAGATTTTAACTAAATTTTACTGTCGTTTTTTTCTTTGTGAAAGAGAGATGGTCAGTACCGGATTGATTCCCAGGCCACTCCAACCATGCTAAATTGCCTTATGTACAAACTCTCGTATTACAGGTACGCCTTAGGAGTGAACTTGGTTTGTTATTTGTAGATGTGCTTATTTTTGCTTTCTGAAGTGTTACTTGACCTTGTTTGTGTTATTTTAGGTTTGTGGAGACAGATGGTAAAGCCTTTGATAGAGTAAGGCGGACTGAAATAGGGAAGAAACACTTTAAGCTTACCCATTTCGAGGAGGTAAGATAATTCAATCCCCAATTGTGGGATAAGAACACAATTTAAGAAATAATTAATTGTTGACCTGTTGATTCTTTGGAATATTCTGTAGAAAAAGGAAAAGGAAAAGCAAAAGACAAAATTCTATTTAATGTTTCACTATTTTGCTCTGAGCTATTAAATGGAGGAAATTTAGTTAGTGTATTGGTTGCTTATTCAAATGAACATCCATTTCTACACAAGGCAAACCAGGGTTTTTACATTTACAAAGTGTCTGGCTTAATTTGCTTTTGAATGACTGGCTTTTTTCTTTAGGAAAGTCAGATTTGAATGACTTAGTTGTCGTTTGATAACATAGTTTTATTTGGAAACAAATGACAACAACAACCACAAAAAAAAAGAAACATGTTTGGTGAGTTGCCAGAGGTGGTGGCCAACGGTGGGGGTGGTTGGAGGTAGCCACTGTAGTTGGTGGTCGGAGTGTCACCAGAGGTAATGGAGTGGCCAGAAGTCGCGGGCAGTGACCGACTGAATGCTGGAAGGTGGCCAGAGCTTGTTGGAGATTGCCAGCAGCCGACAGTGCTGGAGCTCGGTGGGTGCCACAGGTGGGGGAGAGAGAGTGAAAACTTGTTTTGAAAACAAGTGAAAGCACATTTTTTCATTTCTAAAAATTTTGAAAATTTTGGAATCAGTTTCACTTTTTGAAAACGAAAACAATATACTAAACAAGTTTTTGTTATCACTTTAAAAAAAAAATGAAAGCAAAAACAGGAAACAAACGCAATACGAAACGAGGCCTTCAATTCTGGTGCCATTGGCTTTTTCTTATTGCCGAATTGTATCGTTCTCAAATTGTTATTTGTAGTTGAGCAAATATCCATGCTTATCATGTTTTGAAGAATTCTGGAATGCTTTGTTTAAGTTTTTGGATTTTTTTTGAACTGCTTGTGCTTCTTATAAATTAGCTTTTTTTCTGGCTTTATATTTATGTTAGGTATTCACAACTCACCATTGGATGGTTCGGATATACAAGCTAAAATCTCCAAAGAACAGGATCCGGGGAAAGACAAAAAAATCTAAAGTGGTATATAGAAGTGATCATTACTCTTTAATTCTTTAGCATGTATATATCCACTATTATGGAGTCACCGGTCATTCTTGTTTGTTTTGCAGAAAGCTAGCTCAACAACTAGCTCGAAGAGAAGTGGATCAAAAAAGAACCCTTGGCACTAAACAGCAATTTCACAGGCTCTTACTTTAGATCAATTACTTGTAATACATAATTTTTATGCATGAGCCTCCTGAGGGGGATTGTGAGGGCACAGTTAGCAATTTTCCTTGATAGTAATGACAATGATCAATCAAAGATTTTGTAGTCTCTGATATTGTACCGTTTTCTGCATTTACATCGGACATTCAACACATTGTTGCTCAAAGAACAATATTGAGGCAATTTTGGACCGGTTATTTTGCTGGAGTAGTGTACAAGTAGAAATGAAATATGGCTCCTGACTGCATGAGTTGATGTCCCGGTTTTGATTATTATGTGTAGTATCAAAGTATAACTGTGTTTCATTTTCAGGACTAATTTACATTCCCTGTGCACTTCAGATGATGAAACAAAATGGTAAGTATCTATTCTATTTAACCAGAAATTTGTGATGGATTCAGATGCAGCTTGTGGTTCAATAGATTCATCCAAAATGTGGATTATATGAAACATGTCAAGGTCTGAATGAATCATATTGTTTGTATTCAAGGATTGCTTGGCTTGGATTACACTGCATCTCCTGTTTTTTCCCTTGATATGTTTTGTTTGGATGACAATGGAAATGCAGCACTGTTTCTTCCCTTTCCTTTTGGCTTCTTCATATTATGTGGTGTGCTAAAAACACAAGCCAAAGCAAAATCTGGCAATATCTCAACTGTCTTCAATGGTCTGCCATTTGGGCAAAGTTCTCTCACTTTATTTCTCATGATAGGGACTTCAACATTTTCAGGTTGATATTTGTAGCACTAGAGCAGTATCGCCTAGTATCTTGACACTAGCATACCAAAAATTGACTTTGACATCAACTATTAGAGATGCTCTTAGCTGTGAATTTCTACTCTTAAAAAAGTTAGCTTTGGCTTTGATCGTTTTTAATGGCAGGCCCAGCAACCGAAGTCTCGCGCTTTTGGAATCCTTCTAGGAATTTCCACAAGAACTTCAACTCATTGATTGAGGCGCCCTTGCTAACTTCGAAGTAGGTTACATTGAGGTGAACCCGCCAGTTGCATCTGGTGATCTTATACTATATCACATAACGCTCTATAATCATGTCTTTTCTTTTCTCACCTCTCTATTTTTCTCTAGTCTCTCATTTAACCTGATTTGACCTTTCTGAGTATGTATTAAACCTCAAATAACCACCAGATGCTGTCATGGTGCCTCACGGTCACTAAGTTGTAGAGCCCCCCATCCAAAACCATGGTCACAGCACCAACTGCTATTACAGCCCAAACCTGAAAAGATCAGCCCAAGAAACAGCCACACTAAGTGGCATTGGGAACATTAGACATGTTCCCTGTTGGTTTTCATGCAAATTTGAAGGCCCCCCGGTGCATTGGCAAAAACGCCAGATCCTAGGAGATTGATCTTCATTCTGTTCTCTATTTTTCTCTAGTCTCTCATTTAACCTGATTTGACCTTTCTGAGTATGTATTAAACCTCAAATAACCACCAGATGCTGTCATGGTGCCTCACGGTCACTAAGTTGTAGAGCCCCCCATCCAAAACCATGGTCACAGCACCAACTGCTATTACAGCCCAAACCTGAAAAGATCAGCCCAAGAAACAGCCACACTAAGGCCTCGTTTGGCAAGAGGCTATTTTAGCCAAAAAGTTACTAAAAAAGCTAAAAAGCCAACAACTCATACCAAAAAGTCAAAGATTCCATTTTCTCTCTACTTTTTACACATCTTTTCGTAAAAAATCAAAAAGTCATCCCAAACATACTAGTTTTTTTTACATCACATTTTAGTCAAATAGCCAAAAAGTTACTAAATTAGCCTGTTCCCAAACGAGGCCTAAGTGGCATTGGGAACATTAGACATGTTCCCTGTTGGTTTTCATGCAAATTTGAAGGCCCCCCAGTGCATTGGCAAAAACGCCAGATCCTAGGAGATTGATCTTCATTTTGTAAAGTAAAATTCAGTTATAAGTCTACTAATTAAAAACTCGTTTGAAATTTTTACTGATTGTGTTAAAAAATTAAATTTGAACACATTTTAAAATTCATTAAAATTTTAAACTAGGCTTTACACAATTACTACTTGGTTCGACTTGATTATATGTACAATAAAATACCAAGTTATTCGAGCTCGGTTTGTGATTTGCCTGCTTAAAATTCGTTTGAGATGGACTTGAACAACAAGAAGTCAAGGTTAAATATAATTTGAAGTACTTTAAGTTTTCCAGCCAAGCTCTGAACAACTTACCAAAGGGCTGTAGGGTTGGCAAACAGTGCCTTGGCACAGTTGAGTAATTAAAATAGCTCAGCTTGAAACGGACTAGTTCAAGTGGAAAGACGTTTCACTCTAGATAAAAGACATGAGATTTCTTTACATTTGTGCAGTGATTGCAGAGAGAGAGAGAGAGTTTCAAACGACAATATATTATGCAGCCTACTCCAAGGAATGTAAAATATGGGCTTTAAAACCTCAGAAAGAATAAAATTTACTAGATAAATAGCAAGCTATATTTCAACCATTAGACAACAATAAATATAAATACAAAATGGCAAACACACTACAAACTTATACCTTTCACATTTCTATGATAAATAGGCAAACTTAATTCTCTATCTATCCTGCAAATTTGTCATTTTTTTATGCAGAGGCTATAAAGTGGGAAAAAAAGAGAGTAAAAAAGAAGGCACATTGATGGCCAAAGAAGCTCACCGGGTTGTTCTAATCGTAGTGGAACAAACATAATGATCATCCGATGTGAAAGATCAGTAATTGATCTTTGCGCCCTTTCCTTAAGTCTTGACTTCCAAAGCTTACTAACCTGCTACATGAAGGCCAAGTCTGTTGTTCCTATTAACTTACCAAGTAAGTAGTGAAGCTTAAACCAAACAATCAAACCATATGTATACTATACAACTCTTTGCTTCCAGAGTAGAATCTAGCCACTTAAAATCCCACTTCAGAGCTTCTGATGTTCTGATTGTTGCAAAAAATGCTAGCAACGCTACAAGAATAATCCCGCTGCAATTCTTACATAAGGATCGTGTCAACTTGTCATTCATCTCGAAGGATTTGGAAGTAATTACAGTTTCTTTGGCAAGTTGTATGTTTTCTTGAGGAACTTCGTAGCCATGTCATCATTCCTGTAACACAATACTCGCAAAAGCGTGTTTGGTTCAGCGGGACTCCACTGCCCTGAAGTCTCAGGCAGTGGAAGCCTGGATTTAGAAGAAAACCCGAAGCTTTCTTGAGTAACACGTCTGAATTGCTCGATAAGGCTTTCAGTATCAGTACGGAAAAGGGGAAGAATGCCCTTCACAGTGGTTGAAAGCTTATCTATCAACTCAGCTGGCAATCCGTCCCCATTGGACCAGAACAAATCCATTAGAAACTTGAAATCCTCCTCCAAAGTATGAGAATCTTGCAAAGTAAAAGCACGAGAAGGGCCTCCAGCAAGCAAAACGAACAAAAACCCTTCAAAAGACGTTTTCATTACATCAGTAATAACACGTGTCCGGACTCTATCATGCACCGTTGCAGAAATAACCACCAAATGTTGCTCGAGCTCCTGAAGGAACGGTTCTATCCGAGAGGAAGAAACATCACCCACGTACAAACCATCCCAAAGAACATGACTTAGGTCATGGAATACAACCTTATGCGCAGTTACCTCACAAAGTTGTTGGATCCCTTCCACACAAGCAGCCGCCGAAAGCTCAAACTTTTTCTCCATCCGATTGGCAATATCATCCACATGAGCAGATTTAGAATTCCTCAGATGGTTGATTATCTTCTTTCCCAAAACTTCCAACTGTGTTCGAATATGCTGCAAAGTGTTAATACGAACACATAGCTGTGGAATCCCAATTGAATTCTCTCTGTTCGTAGTCCCAACCTGAGGTTTCCTCCTCTGAGTTGTATAAGACTTTTCTTTCTTCTTAAATAATTTTGAACCAGTTTTACATCTGGTCAGGGCAGGCATGGGGGGAATGAAAGTACTTTGGGTTCCTACATACCAGGAAAGATAATTAGAAGTTGCAAAAATGAGTATAATTACTTGACAATAGAGAGGTTTTTTGCAGGTTTCGTTATATTTACCACAGCCAGATTTTGCCTTCAATACATATTGTTGAAGACATCGGTCAAGACCGTTCATCAAATCAGGAAGCAAATTTGGATGCATTATTATTGGCAACAAAAAGAATGCTTCTATTGTTTCATCCATGGTTCGTAGAACTTCAATAGCCGACGGAGCAAATCGCTCTTTGTTTGCCTGTGGGTTCCACACCTAGAAATAAGAGGTTTGTAAGTTCGGTTGTATGAATATAATAAACAAGAGTTTCAAATTGGGATACAGATGAGTTAAATGTAGAACTTCTCAATTGGCACTTTAGCGAGATGACATGAAGACACAAGAAGCAGACAAAAATGTCCTAAATTAACTCAAAAAAATCATGGAATTAACACTTTAAAGTTGAAACCAACAGCGTACCATTCCAAGAAAAATGAAAAGTTAAAAAGCAAGATCAACCCATTATTTGTTTAGTAATCGGACAAATGAGTAGTTCTCAAATTTGCAGAAAATTTATGACATCTATATATATATGGATACTTGCATGGAATTGAACCTTATCATCAGCTTCTACTTCTTTTTCCTCTTCTTCCTGTTCTTCATCCCCTGTTCTCTACACCTTCTTATCCTCCAAACAAACACTTATATCTCCAAACTATGATCATGATTAGATCTCCTATCTTAAACCCCACAATCCCTGCCGGGATCCTCTCTGACTGGAATCCTGCCATTCACTGGCAGAATAATCCCCTTTCTGAACATAAGTTTCTTACACTTTGGATTAGTAGTGCTACATGACTGTAGATGCCAAATGATAATAACTCAAGGTGCCTTACTGAACTCTTTGAGGTTGATATCAAAGAGAAAAGTGCGTGTAGAGCATTTTGTGTGATATTTTTACTGGTTAGACATATCCAAAAAAATTAATACTGTAAATGTTATTGGTTAGACCTAGCAGGTGATAACAATGTTAAATTTCGGGGAAAACTTAAACTAGGTTTACACACCTCTTGTTGCAAATTCCTGTCAACCCATTCCTTAAGTCTGTCCACTCTTGTCCTTATCCACACCTTCACTAGACTGGTAATCACAGTTTCAGCCTCGTATGGAGCCATCTCCTGAATTATTGCCTTCCCACCATCCTCACTTTCCACTGAATCTTCAACTGCAATTTGAACAAGAACCTTTTCCAACTTATCAGCAGCTAGCAACACTTGCACTGCATCAGGTGACAGCTCGTCAATATCCGATACAAATTGCTTCAGCTCATTTCCGTAGCAAGCATGAAGCGTGGCTACGGCTGTACCTGCTGCAAGAGGGTGCCATCTCTTCATTATAGGACTATATATCTCCTTTTCATTAAGAGCCAGTTCGGTAAGATCCTGTGCAAGAATGGAAAGAACAGGAAGAGGATTTTGCTGGTTTTTAGAAGACCGCTTGCTTGATTTTACTGTCTCCATCTTCTGTCATAAGGCAAGCCAACCAGAAAAAAATGGGTCATTATCTGACATAAAAGTTTAGGATACAAGCTCAGTAAAATCCAAACAAATTTGTTCATGAAAGTAAATAAATAAATAAAGGCCAGTTGAGTAGTTCACTAATGTCTTGTGCAAGGATGCAAAGCACATTGAAGAAAAATTTAGTACTTAAAGAACAACTTGTTTGATTTTTCTTCTTCATTTTCTGTGTTCAAGCTAGTGTTGCATGAACGCTTCTATTTCTCCCACAGCACCCATGTCTACTAGATATGACAACATTAAGGGTGTGAGATGTGTCCAACACCTGTACCTAATTTAGACACTTGGATCCTCTAATTTTATATAATGTATAAACAAGAAGAAGCTCACATTTGCTAGTAAAGAAATATTTCATGCCTTTCACATGGATAGGAGGTAGAAATTCCATATTTTTCCTACGTTATTTTAATTTCAAGTTCATTTCTAAATAACTTACATTATCTTATCTAAGAATATTATACAATATGTAACATATATAAGTGTTCAAGACACGTCTCTCTATCCATACCTAACTTTTGGATACATATCTCAATATCATAAGATTTAGGTTTAGGAAAGTCTGACCCTTGGATATGCACCTACATCTGATACTTGCACACGAGTCCATGTAACATAGATTCAAGCAAATTAAACAGAAAATGGATCGCACTTCCTATAAACAATTTAAGATACAAGCTCACTAAAATATATTTGTGCATATTATGGTCGTTAACTTCAAGGCCCGAGGATTGGTTGAGGTGCATGCAAGCTGGTCTGTACACCTAGTTATCAAAAAATATATATTTCTGCATTATACAAAACAAAAATGATATACATATTGGGTGACGATAACAAATAGGAACAATTAAGAAATAATTTAGGGTGAAGAGTGTGTTCCATTAAGGAGGAAAACAAAATCCATAAATAATACAATATACAAAATAGGAATACATTTATATGAATAGGAAAATGATTTACATACAAAATTTTCATAAAAAAAACTCATCCAGAATGATGTAGAAATGATGTTTTTGAAATTACAAGCCAAAATAGCAGGTGTTTTGATTTGAAATGAAAAGACCAAAAGAGACCACATCATTCTGTATGAAAATTATATATTTTTTTTTCATTACTCATTTGAATATAGGAGCTAGAAGTATTCCGAATCCTACATACTTGCCTGAGCAAAAGCAGAGCGTACTGATGACCTGATGTAATTGTCAACCCTGTCACATGCTACATCAACTTCTTTCCTTTTCTTGCGATACTCATTAGAAATGTCATCTACCAATATCTTAGCCGATATTACCGCCAGAGATACAACTATTTGCATCAATTCAATATTACCACTGTAAAACGTATCATGATAAGCAAGAAGGCTTTTCTCTGCCCAACGCAAAATCCGACTCAATGTCGAACTCAAGGTTGTGGAATAAACTGAATCCTTTGTTGCTTTTGCATCGTTTTCAACTTCCGCCAACAGATTATTCGCGGCAAAGAGCAGGTCATTCTCAACTTGTCCAGTGGCAACAAAACGGTGGAACAACACCCATGAAAAGCATAGGTTATGCAACATTTGGTTTATTCCGAGGACAACCCAAGTCTTCTTTATGAGTTCTAAAACCTCGTCAACTTCTTCCACAACGGATGTTTCTTCATTCACATCAAAGCAAGCTTCAAGGAGCATTTGGTAGAGTCGGAGATTAAACGGAACTCCATCTGCCCAATGGCATGTCTCAGAGGTGGATCCGTCAAATGATCTGCATGCAAGAGACATTACAGTGCTCCGGAGAACTTGCATTGATTCGCTCTGCTTTCCGGTCTCTATGGGCCTTTCTAGGCCCCCACGTATTATCTGTCGAAGCCGCTGTGGAGCAGTGTCTGCCTTATCTAAAGGCATGTGAGGATGCAAGAGTAGTCCTGCTTCAAGAATCTTTAAATTTCGGTTCTGCCACACTTCGTATTCTTGCTGATTAGGAAAATCTGACGACTTAAACTGCTGTAATAGTTCAAGTGGAAGAACCATTGACTCAATTCGTCTTCCAAGCTGGAAAAAAATGCATAACAGAAGCCAATGATTAAGTGCACTGAAATTTACTACTCCTAACCTAGTCACTAAATGAACAAATATTGAATCTTCAACAGTTTCTCCTCAAGTAGCACAGACATGCGACATGACATAACTATGCCAACACGGTCATTTTCAAAAAATGTAGGGCACGATATGCCATACATTAAAATTTTATAATATATGAATAGTTTATTCAAAGTTGTCATTCACATAACAATTGCAATCTAAAGAATACAAAATAATTGTAGAGCATTGAAATAGACATGATGCATTTATCTTATAAATTTTTTAAAGCATATTTAGAGTGCAAAGTTGTATTTTGAAAAATGCACTAACTATGAAGAAATTCATCAAATAGGTCGTGTTCAGAGGGTTCAAGAAATGTTACCAAAGTGTCCAAGAAATGTTTGTAAAGTGATTGATATTGCAAATTGAAAATTTTAATTAAGACACGTTGAAAAAGTTTTGGACACATTTTAGGAGTGTCTCGAGAGTGCCGGATCCGACACAACACGCCTCCTCTATAAAAGTGTCCGTGCATCTTAGGTTTCTCTATGTATATGACTTAAATTCTATATTTCCAAATCAATTCACTCGAAGCATTAAGCAACTAACATACCCATTTTGGACTATAATATAACCCAAAAAGTTGGAATCCCAATTTATAAATACAAAAAAAGATTTTCCGAAATAAGCTCATTCTCTTGCCGTTTAACTAAATTAAAGAGGACCTGCCAAAATGGTTGCCTAGTTCACTTTCTACTTCAACTAGTCATGTTTGCCGACTATTCAATAAAAATGCTGAATTACCAATAATAAAGACACATTACAATCAGCAAATACACCTAGCAAATTAAAACACACCTGTGTAAAATTTTTTAAAAAAAGAAAAAAAGATGAACACGCCTACAAGGAATGAAAATGATGGAATCTCTCAATTCAGTTGATTCAAATTTCAAATTTTTATGCACAAGTGCCATTAAAATCAAATGTGAATAAAAACTACCCAAAAAAAATTAAATAAATAAATAAAATTGAAGCCACACCGTGCTGAATTACCAATAATAAAGATACATCGTCATCTTTTGAAAAAACAAGAAGGCCTAATAATTGAAGACACCTGTATATATATAGAAAAAAACATGCACCCACCCATAACATACTACCATAGATCTATTTTTAAAATTTTTAATTCAATAGATTCAAATTTCAATTTTTTTCCACAAGTGCCATTAATATCAATTGTGATTAGATACAACCCAAAAAGATAAAAACATGAAATTGAAGCCACACCACATAAAGTTTAATATTAAAGGAATAATAAAGTAAAAAAAAAAACAAATGAGAAATAACAGACACTACAAACAAACAGAAAATAGCAATATCTGTCTTCTTGGTGACTGAAAATATGTTAGGAAAATAAAATAAAAAATAACTAAAATTATGAAATCAAAATTTCCACCATCAAATTCCCCTCATAAATCAATCATAGAAGTTCTTTAAGTTGATTTGAGCCCAAATGCAACAATTCAATTTGCCAATTTTCTCCTTTTTTAACAAATCAACATAACAAAGTGAAGTTCTCTCTCGTATTTTCTCAGCAATCAAACAGAGGCTACACAAAACACCAGAAAGGAGATATAAAAAATAAATAAATAAATAGCTAAAATTATGAATTCAAAATTTCCACCATCAAATTCCCCTGATAAATCATAGAACCTCTTTCAGCTAAATTTGAGCCCAAATGCAACTATTCAACTGGCCAAATTTTACATTTTTTTGAAACAAATCAACATTAAACAAATGAATTTTTCCTTTTCCCCTCTATTTTCTCAGCAACCAAACACACACATACACATACATATATGTATATATTGCAGAGAGATCACCTGGCCAGCAGCAATTCTCAACAAGCCTCGCCTAATCCTCGAATCGGTCTGCTCCGAAACCCTCATCTGGATCCTCACCAGCTCACCAACGGTCACGGGTTTCTTGCCCTTACCCGAACCCACCGGGTTGTTCTGACCCGCAACCGCGTTCGGACTCTTCTTCTTCAACCCCAAGGCCTTCTTGACCTTGCTGGCCGCCGTCGACGTCAGAGATCTCTGCAGCGACGGCGCCCCCGAAGACAATGACAACGACGACGACCTCTCCACCGCCGCCGTCCTCTGCGACTGAGAAATATAAGTCAACGGCTTCCCTCCGGTGCTCCGGCAGGCTCCGACGAGGACTTCGTAGGCCATTTCCCGGAGCTCCGAGTCGGACAGGTCCACACCCAGTTGGCCAAACGGGTTGCGGAGCTCATCGGAGGAAGATATGGGTACATCGTCGATTCTATTGCTTTTGATCACCATGTTGCTCTCTGTTTGTTTTGTTTTGGATGGTAAAATGAAAAGGGTCTTGGTTTTGTGGAGTGAGTGTGATGCGGTGGCCTCTCTCTGTTGTAATTCGTGTAATTCCGTGCGGTAGCTTTTGCGCTTTGTGGTGTGATGTGAGAGAAAAGGAGGATAGAGAATGTAGAGAGTTAGGGAAATGGTGGTGGGTTTATTCTTGCTTGACTTTTAAGGAATGCATCATGTTGTGAAAGAGGAAGGTTAGTGGAGAGAGTTGGAAAAAGTAAAAGGTGGAGATATGGATAGAGCATAGCAGGCTAAGGACAATGGTTTGTAGTTCGAATCTCTTTATCTCAAATCTTTTGATTGTTTAAAATAATGTCATTTTGGGTAATTTTTTTTTTTTTTTTTTTCCTTTTTATGGCTAAAAAGTAAAGAGAAAAAGAGGAAGAGGAAGAGGAAGAGAAAGAGAAAGAGGGAGAGAAAGATAAAGAGAGTAAGAGAAAATGGAGAGAGAGAGAGGGTCGCCGTCGATCGCCTCCGCCTCCGCCTCCGCCAATCGCCTTCGCCTCCGATCGTCGTAGCCCAGCCCCTCCGCCTCAATTGTCGCAGCCCAACCCGAAGGGAAAAAAATAAAAATAAAACTGTTGGCTAGTGTTGATGATGATGATGGTGATGTTGATGAAGATGTTGATGATGAAGATGAACGATTGAATTTTTTTTTTTTCTGGATCTGATGATGTTGATGATGAAGATGAATGGTTGATGTTGGTCTCGGTCTCTCCCTCTCTCTCTCTTCTTCTTCTTCTTCTTCTTCCTTCTTCTTTTTTGATTTTCTTCTTCTTGAAAAAAAAATAAAACGACATCGTTTTGATTTCGGGGGGGATTCCGGGAAGGGAAGATTCGAGCTACATAGCATAACTGGCAGGCTAAAGCGCTCTTTGGGCTAATACATCTCTTAACCAATGTTTTAAAAACCGGACCGGTGAACGAACTGGAAAAAGGATCGAGTGGACGGGTCACCGGTTCAACCGTCGGGTTGAACCGAAATTGAACCGTGACGTAATAAATATATTAAAATTATATTTAAATAAAAATATAAGTAATAAAATTATAAATTAAAAATATTAAATTAATTTGCGACGGTATTTTCTGCCGTCGCAAATACTCTCATTTTTTGAGACGGCAAATAATGCCGTCGCAAATGCTCTGTTTTTTTGAGACGGCAAATGGTGCCGTCGCAAATACTCTGCTTTTTTGAGACGGCAAATGGTGCCGTCGCAAATACTCTGTTTTTTTGAGATGGCATTTTTTGCCGTCGCAAAAAGTGACTTTTTGAGACGGCAAGTGTGCCGTCGCAAATAGTTCCGTCTCATAAACTCACTTTTCTTGTAGTGATTGTCTTGTTGATGTAATTATTTTTATATTTATAATTAAACTGATATCGATTTGGCACCAAAAAAAAAAAGAAAGAAAAAAAAAACTAAAAGAAAAAAAAGGAGCCGGACCGGTTCGATCAACCCGTGACCGGGTCAACCGGTTCACCAGTTTAACCGGTGGGTTCACCGGTTTTCAATAAATAGTCCGATTTTTGCAATTGGCCAGTTTAAGAGGGCTAACCGGACCGGAACCCCATCCGGTCATCGGTTCAACCGGTTGAACCGGCCGGTCCGGTTCGGGTTTCAAAACCTTGCTCTCAACTAGATTCCAATGTGTCATTACAACTTTAAAAATTAAAGATAAATTATAAATACAATTTTTGAGATTTGCATGAATTATTTCTTAAGCTTTTTAGTTTAAGGTTTTTGATGTTAAAATTTTATAAAATAAAAAAAATTGTAATATTTTTATAATAATTTTTGTTTTTCAACATCTTTATAGAAAGAAATTTCTAGTTATTTACAGAGAAATTTATCTATGACGAGTTGAAATTTTTTTTAATAATATTATTTAGAAACTTTAACTAATAAAATAAAAAATATGTTGGACTTCTCATATTATTTTTAGCTCCGTTTGGGAAGTTGGTTTAGAGGCTTTTTTGGTTAAAATAGCCACAAAAAACAAAATAGGCTTTTTAGCCTAAGAAGACAAAACATCACATTCAACCCATAATCATTACATTCTTTCTCTCATAAAAAAGTTAAAAAAGTAAAAAAAAAAAAAAAAACCAAAAGCCCTTCCCAAACCAAACTTTTTAGCCTCAGGCTAAAATAGCTAAAAAAAGTAAAAAAGCCAACCCACTTCCCAAACGGTGCTTGGAGATCAATGTTTTATTAATTTTTCTTTATTTCTTGTAGTTTGAAAAATTATAAATATCATTTGTTATAATTTTTTATTTAATAGAATTAATTGAAAAAAATAAAATTTCTAACTATTATTCTATACGATAATAAAGTTATTTAAATTATTAACTGAAATAAAATTTTGATATTATTAAAAACTATTAATTTACTTAATAATTTATTTATAAAACGGCTATTTGTTATAAAATTAGAAATTTCAATGGGCGGAATGTAATTTTCAAAATTATAGACAATAATTTATATTTTAAACAAATCTTAAAGGATATATTTGTAATTTATCCTTAAATTAACAATAGAAAAAATTACATCTATCCCTCTAAATTATTGTCTAATATCACTGTACTTATTGAATTAAAAATTATAACACTAGGCCCTCTTCATCTTTTAGACTTTTGTGACAAAAATACCCTTTTAAGTATAAAAGTAAATTACACATTGCCTTCTTAAACTATCACTTAATAACACTCTACCCCCTCTACTAAAAGAAAATGTTTGATTTTAATTTAAAATAAAATTTAAGTTTTTTTATTTTATAATTTTTTTTAGTAAACATATTTTAGTTAAAAAATTTAAATTGTTAAATGCACCTAAACATTAAATATTTGTGAATAATTTTTTGAAAAAAATCACTAAAGACAAAAAAATATATATATTTTTGTATTTTTTTTTGGTCTTTTGTGATTTTATTTATTTATTTATTATTATTTTTTACATTTCTTCATAAATATTTTTCTCTGTTTGGTTTGATTTTCAATTTTTTTTTCTAACAATCTAAAAATTAATTTACTGATAAAATGAAAAAAAAAATCCCAAATCAAAAATGATATTGGGTGATAGTTCAATGGGATAAAGTGATATTGAGTGATATAGTTTAACGGAGTAAAGTATAATTTATCCTATTGGGTATTTTAGTTATAAAGGTCCAAATTGAGCCCTTGTTTGGCATTCATTTTGAGGCTAAATAATTACAAAAAGATAAAATTGTCTACAAAAGCTAATGAGATAAAATATTACTTTTTACCCATAATCATTATACTTTTTTTCTCACAAAAGTCAAAAAAGTCTCAAAATAAAATGCAAACGAGACTAAAAAAGTTAGACAAAAAAAGTCCCAACACAAAAAGTTGGCTATATTAGCCAATGTTAAACGAACCTTGAAAAAATTAAAATTAAAAATTAAAAGGTTAGTTTTTAGAATTTATAGTTGAACGGGGTAAAGTGATAAGGGACAATAGCTGAATGGTTAAAGCATAATTTGTCGGATAATTTTCACTGTATTTGAAAAAATAAATTTTGTTTATATACTTAACAACAAACGGAATACGAAAGAAATAAAGGAAATGAGAGAATTTATTTGATTACAAAAATCAAACTAGAAAATAAAATAAAATAAATAAAACAGATTTTTATTTTGTTACAAAAACAAAATAAAAATCTGAAACAGAAAAATAATAAAGCAGAAAATAAAATAATTACTTACCAAATTAATTTATGGAACAAATTTTCTAATCAAGTCTAGTGTTTAATACTATGTCCTTAAGATAGATTTGTTCTCTCCATGGTGCTTTCAGATTGTGGACGTCTATCTCCCAGGATAAAATAATCTACAGCAAACAATAGCAGCACTACAAATTATTTGCATAACGAACACACTAAATGTTTACACTCTTATACTCTTTCTCATAGAAATTTAATGCAACAAAATGCAGAGAATTATTGCAGAGAAGAAGTATAAAAATTGAAGTGAAAACATCAAATAAGGGACTGCCTATTTATAGATGGAGTGATGACTGTTTAATTTGAATTAAATAGGTACAGATTTGAATGAACAAGTATGGTACCTGTTCGGTTTGAATAAACAGATACAAATCTATTGGGTTCAAAATTTGAATAGATAAAACCCGTGTTTAACAAATTTGAATTTGTCCCGATGGGGAAAAAAACGGAGCCCATTTTGAATTCAATTTCCGAAATTCAAATTCCAAAAAATTAGAATTTAATTTTAGAAAATAACTTTCAAATGTTTTTGGCCCAAAAAGATAGGTATTGGGTCGAACAATCCCAACCAAACCACACACCACGCACCCGCACCCAAGTCCAGGCCCAGCCCCGCCCGACCGGACAGACGGTGGTGGCGGCAGCGGCGGCGCGCGCGTGGTTATTTTTGGGTCCAATGGGTCTAGCCCAATTTGCCCATAACCTCTCCCTTCTACAAACTTGGGGTGCCTCTTGAGGCCCTCCCCAAGTTATAATCCCAACCTTTATAAACCCATAAATTTCTTCCCACTAAACCAATGTGAGACAAGCCTTTATTCAACCCTTAAGAAATTTCCACCAAAAACTCCATTTCCATATAGCTCACTTTGGCTTCAATTTCTCATTCACCCGATAATGGTTTTGAACAACCAAATATACTACGTGAATCTAAACACGGCATAGAACGCGTTACCACTTAGATCCGCCAAATTTGGCGCATGGGTCCCACCTAAAAAATAGACCAAAGTTGAGGAAAAATTCTATTTTTTTTCCAAAACTTCAAAACCCATTTCTAACAATCTTTTACATGAATGGAATTTGATGACAACGGAAATGCAACAATATGCAGAATTTGTCGAAAGAGTATAAATCAAAAATATCTTGCATTAGGATAGGTAGCTTTCGGCCTTGAACCTTCCCTAGTGATAACCTATCAGACTTACTAGCTAACTAATGGACGCGATGCCTTGAATTGTTCAGCCGTTTGTGTAAGCCAAGACAATAGATTTCACACAAAATATCTTCTGACATATCGTGGTTCTCATGGTTGTATTCATTTTGGCTTTGAACACTTCTGTTTGTTAATGAGTGCTTCTAGAGAATTTAGCCTCTTCATTCTCATAGAACCGGCTTGTAGCGATCCCGGTTTTGACCATTCTTTCATGTGTTTGTCGCTTCGATTGGGCAGGTCGGGGATCGAGCTGGCCGGTCAGCTCGTAGGGGTCGAGGGGGCAGTGCCCCTTGGTGGGTCCGAGGGCAGCGCCCTGGCGGGGTCGAGGGG